AGAAATTGATCGAAATTGTACCAAAAGTGCTTCTGAACGTGTTTCGCAGTTCGGGGTGGTGAAATTCGTGAATTCGCGGTTTATGGTCAGCGAAAATTCCGTGTCACAAAATTGCTCACCGAGTTTTCTTTTTTTGCCGTTCGACGACGACGGGTTTGCGAGAGAAAAATAAGCATCGGGAATTTGCTCCCGGATGTATTGATTTGGTGAGTACGTTCCAGTTGAAGATTGTTCTTATACATATCTCGATTGCATTTTCGAGGGGACGTTCGGAGAGCTTTGAGATTTAGGCATTGTTGCATTTGCGGGCAGATGAGTTAGTCGCCGGTAAGGGCCAGCAAGTGCTGCCAGCAGATGAATCAAGAGGTATTCGAAACAAAATTGATAAGAAATGTCCATTCAAATCGATTTAATACAGTTGAACAAATTTCAAAACTATATACGTGCCAGATTTGGAAATAATATTATTTGAATCTGGAAGTGTGTTTATGATACCATTATCCATTTGAAAAGGTAGAGTGAACATGCGGGGCTTATTGTAAGTAAAAGTGACCTCGGAGTGGTCAAGAATTACCAGGCATTCTGAAATGGGTCACTGGAGCTGCAATAGAGCTAACACCTTCTAACTCCCGGACTAAACCTGCTTTAATTTAAGGGTAATAAAAAGCAGTTTTCTTCCATAATAACACTGCCGGACAGTGGGGGTTAGATTGTACACAAACACACACACACACACAGAATTGTTTAATTAAATTTAATGTAGGAAATGGTAAAAAGTCAGACATTAATAGTATTTAAGTCCCAGAGAAGATTAATTTAATTTAATGTAAGAAATATTAAAAAGTCAGACATTAAGAGTATTTATGACCTAGAATCGTTTCATTTAATTTTATGTAAGAAATGTCTGATATTTCGAGTATTTACAACCCAGAATTGTCTAATTAAATTTAATGTAAGAAATGTTAAAAAGTCTGATATTTAGAGTATTTAAGACAAAAAATTGTTTCACTTAACTTAATGTAAAAAATGTTAAAAAGTCTGAAATTTAATGTAGTTAAGACCCAGAACTGTTTCATTAAATTTAATGTAAGAAATGTTAAAAAGTCTGACATTTATAGAATTTATGACCCAGAATTGTTTAATTAAATTTAATGTAAGAAATGTTAAAAAGACTGATATTTCGAGTATTTAAGACCCAGAATTGTTTAATTAAATTTAATGTAGGAAATGGTAAAAAGTCAGACATTAAGAGTATTTAAGTCCCAGAGAAGATTAATTTAATTTTATGTAAGAAATGTTAAAAAGTCTTACATTTAGAGTATTTAAGACACAGAATTGTTTTATTAAATTTAATGTAAGAAATGTAAAAAAAGTCTGACATTTATAGTATTTATGATCCTGAATTGTTTCATTACATTTAATGTAATAAATGTTAGAAAGTCAGACATTAAGAGTATTTAAGACCCATAATCGTTGTATTTAATTGAATGTAAGAAAAGTTAAAACGTCTGATATTTCGAGTTTTTACGACCCAGAATTGCTTCATTAAATTTAATGTAAGAAATGTTAAAAAGTCTGATATTTCGAGTATTTAAGACTCAAAATCGTTTCATTAAATTTAATGTAAGAAGTGTTAAAAAGTCAGACATGAAGAGTATTTAAGACCCAGAGTAGATCAATTTAATTTACTATAAGAAATGTTAAAAAAATCTTACATTTAGAGTATTTAAGACCCAGAATCGTTTCATTAAATTTAATGTAAGAAATGGTAAAAAGTCAGACATGAAGAGTATTTAAGTCCCAAAGAAGATTAATTTTATTTTATGTAGAAATATTTAAAAGTCAGACATAAAGAGTATTTAAGACCCATAATTGTTGTATTTAATTGAATGTAAGAAATGTTAAAACGTCTGATATTTAGAGTATTTAAGACAAAAAATTGTTTCACTTAACTTAATGTAAAAAATGTTGAACAGTCTGACATTTAAAGTATTTAAGACCCAGAATTGTTTCATTAAATTTAATGTAAAAAATGTTAAAAAGCCTGACATTTAGGGTATTTAAGACCCAGAATCGTTTCATTTGATTTAATGTAGTAAATGTTAAAAAGTCTTACATTTAGAGTATTTAAGACCCAGAATCGTTTCATTTAATTTAATTTAAGAAATGTTAAAATGTCTTACATTTAGAGTATTTAAGACACAGAATTGTTTTATTAAATTTAATGTAAGAAATTTTAAAAAGTCTGACATTTATAGTATTTATGATCCTGTTAAAACGTCTGATATTTCGAGTATTTACGACCCAGAAGTGTTAAAAAGTCAGACATGAAGAGTATTTAAGACCCAGAGTAGATTAATTTAATTTAATATAAGAAATGTTAAAAAAATCTTACATTTAGAGTATTTAAGACCCAGAATCGTTTCATTTAATTTAATGTAAGAAATGTAAAAAGTCAGACATTAAGAGTATTTAAGTCCCAAAGAAGATTAATTTTAGAGTATTTAAGATCCAGAATCGTTTCATTTAATTTAATTTAAGAAATGTTAAAAAGTCTTAAATTTAGATTGTTTGAGACACAGAATTGTTTCATTAAATTTAATGTAAGAAATCTTAAAAAGCCTGACATTTATAATATTTAAAACCCAGAATTGTTTCATTAAACTTAATGTAATAAATGTTAAAAAGTCAGAATTGAAAAAGCGTTTATCGTAACAGCTTACGCGAGTTATTTCCTATCAATTGGTGAATTTGGATTTCAATTTCATCTATAAATGACAAAGTTATAAGCGTTCAAAACCTTACATATTTTCGTGACGGTCGCAATTTTAGATTTTCGATTTACCCCTAGTACCTTCCTGTAAGACGTAGTCTACGTCAAAAGAGCTTCGGATCGATTTGGCGTGGAACTGCTCAAATATGATGGTCGGAATAAAATGCAATAGAGTTCTATGGGTGATAGAGTGATAGATACAAACAAACTGAAACCAGTAGCACTCAAATCGGTTTAGCCATCGCCGAGAAAAGTGAGTAACACACACATAGGCAGACACTTTTCGATCTCGTGGGGGCCTCCCTTAGCTCAGTCGGTAAAGGCGCAGCTACAAAGCAAGACCATGCTGGAGGTGGCTGGGTTTGATTCCCGATCCGGTCTAGGAATTTTTCGGGTTGGAAAATTTCCCGACTTCCATGGACATAGAGTATGTTTGTACTTGACACACAATTATTCTTATGTAAAAATGGTACAGGCATCGAAAGCTCTCAATTAATAATAACAATAATAATAGATAATAATAAGAAGAAGACCTCTAGAAATTAATAAGATTTTAATAATCTTGTTCCGTCCGGGGGAACGAACTAAGTGGACTGTAACACTTCGATGGGAGGAGGCCAAAAGCTAGAGGGTAAGGATCTATCGCTGGGTGCTTTGCCTTCTGTGGAAACTCCGTCTTCTTGAAGCCAAGGCTTTTGCTAGACTTTTCTTAACACTTCGAAATGTAATCACTAATAACTAATTTATTTGGAACGATAGCTTTTCCTCCGATCGCATCGGAATCTGATTTCATTATGTCCTTTTCGCGGACTGTAAGTAGGCATATCCTGTTTGCTTTCACGCAGTTTAACTTAATGACTGTTCAAATTTGGTACTGGATCACCAAAAAATGGTACCAAACTGAGCAAAGATATTTCTATATACCACATACTGCGATGTCCATTTACGCGATTTCCATTTACATGGTCCCTATTAATAACCCTAGGATAACTGAAATAAAAAAAAATTACATTCTCATAATGAAATTTTTTTTGGTCTCATACGCTTTCAATATCACTCGTGATATTGGAACAAAATATCATGCGATATTGTTTTTACAAGCTCCTTTGATACTGCGAGACTACTCATCACATGTGAAATTGCAGTTGAGAGTTGACTCGGCGCAAAATTAAATCCGTTGCACATCGTTTTTTAGAACGAGATAGAAAAGTTTGCAATCCCTCTTTACTCATCACCCATGTCTAACACGAAGTTACTGCTGCCAGTGGTAATGGATGTTTCGGGTCGCGTTCGGATGTAAAGCAAAAATCTTGAAACTCAAACTCACCACAGTTTGGTGATAATCGCAGCTGGTGAGTTTTGTTAGCCTACTATTTGGAGCAACGATATCGCAGCTTGTAATCTCATCCGCTGTCCAGGAAAATCCAGCGTAATCACCGGAGTGATTTGATATTTTCTCAAGACTGCTTCAAAATAAGTTGCTTGAGGAACCCACGTTGGTTCGAGACATCGGTAGGTTGAAATAGAATGTGGTTTTCGAGAGTTAGAATAACATTAAATCGCTGATTGGGAGTCTCTAAAAGCACAATTAACAGTCTTTAAGCGTCCAACACATACTTTACAGCCATTTCTTGTAACACAAGTACAAAATATCATCAATTTTTATCAACTTCACTGCGTTTCTAGAACATTTCATTTTCATCATAGAAATAAATTTTAAAGTTCGATTTCACGTGGGAAAATTATTTGTCAAGTAATCTGGCAGTGTGAATTCAAAAAGTTCTGCTAAATTACTGGTTGTTTGCTATAATTGATTCCATAACAATAGGTTTTTGTAAACCTATTTTTATGGAAACAATTACAGCAAAATAGCTGGTTATAATTTTGAAACCTCGTGATTTTCAACATCATGTATGTACATTTTAAAAGCAGAAAACGAGAATCCGAAAAAAAAAATTTAAAGCTAAAATTTTTGCTATAAAAAATATGAAATTTGTAAGGAACGAAGAACGCAACTATAATCTACTACAAAAATTGTATTGGTTAAAGCGATTTTGCAGTTGTACAATTTCCTATAATCAGCAACGATAGTGTCAAAAAAAAAAACTGCAAACAATCGCAACAGGGAAAATCTATTTGACTAAAGCTGTCGCCAGCAAAAGAATAGAGCAAGAATGCATGACACAGCCAACGGTCGATAATATAATGAAGCCAAATCAAGACTCACCTTCCCGCACTGTTTGCACTTGCCCTTCTCGGTCCGCCGGTGGATCCAGTGGTGGGTCGTCTTGGTCTGCTCTCGGTACTGCCGCACGCCGACATCCCGGAAGGTGGGCTTACACTGCAGCTGAGTCCGCTCCATCAGCACCGAGATGCAGCTGGCGTGGGCGATGATCTTGCAAGCCGAGCACTTCATCCGGGGACCGTGTTTCTGTGAGGAAAAAAAAAGATAAGACCGGGAGAAAACCGGAGGTTAATTGACACTCCAAAATGAAACACTATTCATTTATGGCGAGCTCAGCTCGAAAAGCTGCTAGGAACGAAAATCCATTTACCAATTTAGATGAGCTTGTACGTCACTGGCGATAAGATTCTGAAACTATCGAAAGCGTTTCTGTATAACTGTAAAGTTAGACGACGACGACGACGACGACGACGACGCTGGAGGCCATCACCATCAACTGTGACACGGTAGTGTTCATTGGTGCCATAACTAATCCATGAAATGATATCTGAAACTTTTGCCGTTCCGATTTCGGCGGGAGTAGCGATACGAAATCCCGACCACGATGTCGTAGTCGGCAGTGGTGAGGGGAAGCGATGAAGCGGGTTGAAATGATGATTTTGGGGGAGCAAAACGTCGAAAAACGGTGCAACCTGTGCAGTGCACAGGTTGTGGAAAGAAGCTCCATATTTTAGAGTTTTTTAGTCAAAAGGATTGTTGACGAGGGAACACAAGTTTTAGAGGCTTCCTTATAAGCGTCGTGCAGGATGTAATCCGTGCAGCATGTGCAGTGCATATTAGGACACACCAACTTGGGAAATGTATTTTAGACTGATTTCAAACAAGATGATGTGATCCTGTGAAAATTTTCATGGTTCATGGTTAGTAAAATTGTGTTCAAAATTTGAGCAAACGTGGGTTTGAGGCTTAACGGTTGCGCAAACAGTTAAAAGTTTCTATGAGAATTTAGACGAACAAGTGAAGTGAATGCCCTACCAACCTTTCCCAACTCCACCTATGGCAGGGAGAAAAGCTTAAAGCACCCCATCGCTTTTGCAATCGCCAATGTGGGAAATCAAAACGGAAACTTCGGCGGAAAGCACAGGATAGGGAAGCCAACACGAGAAAAACGCCTCCGTAATGCGCTTATAATCTCTTCGTTCTCCACCGACCGACCGTATGTGTGTAACGTACGTGGGCGGCTGATGGGTGGAAGATGTATGTTCTCCTGATTCCATTCCTGCGACACTGTGGATGTTGGATGCCAGGATTTGGCGTATGAGTGTCAGTCAGTCAAGCAGGATTCGTGTGCGCCTGGAAGGGACGCTGATATCGCACCGCCACCACCGACACAGCGAAACCCAGTTGTGACAGGAACTGTCTGAGAAATCTACTCATACATTTTCTCTTTAAAAGTTGAACTGCAGGCAAAACCGTTCATAAAATATGGAATCATAAAAATCGCGCCAATCACTGTCTTCAATGTTTACTTTCGTCCCCTCCCACCTGGATCCATCCATCTCATCGGCGTAGTTCAACTTTTATATTTTTATTACTACCCAAAATTGCTCTCATCGTCCCACCGCCGACGCCGCCACAATCCAATAAAATTGTGATAAACGAACAAAATAAATAAAATCAACTGTGTCACTGACTTTCGATATTGGTCGCCTGTTTCGCTTTCGCCACCAGAAGAATGCGTGCTTCCCATTCCATTGATCCCATTTTATTTTACTTCATCCCCCCCCACCTTGATAGAGAATATTTATAGGTTAGTGTGTGGGAAATGATTGGAAATATCTAGGTAATCGTTGATTGCTGGAAGGCTTGTAATCGGAGGCGTTCCACATGCACGCACTTCCTGAACTTAATGTAAGATGTGATAATAATAGGTGGACTTAAAAAAAAGAAAACGAAGGGTTTTCGATGTTTGAAAGATGTTCGGTGAAATGGTTTTACGATACAATTTTGCTTCTAAAAGTATTCTATTTACATGAAACGTCAGATAATCAGATGAAATGTCATGTTCCCCATCCATAAAACTGTAAATCTCTACTAACCTCGAGGCGACCGCGAGTAATCGGTTCAATTCATTTAACTCTAGATTTAGGACATTAATTATGTATAACGCAATTGAGAACTTGGCTCTGTAAAGTTTATTCAATTGAGCCTGAACAAAAAAAATACTCAGATTCTTGAAAAAAAAACACATTGCCATCATAAAAAAAAAAATAAACCGAAAGGTCGATTTTTGCGATTCAACTTTTTCTCGTGCTGGCAAATAAAACAGGGGAAATAGATGTAATGCCCCTAATTTGGGCCCATACATAAATTCAGCAATCGTCTAAATTTTCAAAAGCGACCAAAATATTCATTAGTACCGTCCCAATAACGCGTTCATCTAGATAAAATTGATAAATAGCAAATTTTTAGCGATGGGCCCGATATTAGATCCATAGGCCAACATTAGAGCCAACATCCCCTCTTATATATATTTTTTTTAGAATCTGAGGAATGAAACAGATTTTCTGAATCTTTTCCAATATTTTTAGACAATACAATACAAAACGTAAATTTTTCGGCAGCACCACATTAATAGAAATACAAATTTATACAGTAATCAGAAAATTTCGGTGAAATGACCGCATAATCGTTGATGTAACCTTTTAGAAATTCGCGTAACCTAACGGCACCGGAGGCTCAGCTATAGATACTTTCGGAACGGAATTCAGCAAAAATATGCGACATAAAAAGTTCTTAAAGTATCTAGAACAAAGTTTTAATAAGAAATGAACGTATAAAAAGGTATTTGAAGAAAGCCGATTTTCTAGGGCCACCCTATTCTGCATGTTTAAAATAATCATAACTCATGAACCATAAGAGATAGAAATTTGTTGTAATGAGCAAAGTTGCTTCAAATTGATTGTTCTACATCTTTATAGAACACTGCAGTAGTCTATCACAAATAATATGAAAGTTTGTTTTTTCACCGATTTTATGGACCACCCTAATTTCACTAAAATAAAAACATCGACCTGGTTCTAGACACTTTCAGAACTTTATTTAGCGCATATTTTTGCTGAAGACACCATATTTCTAGCTCTTATGCTTCAGGAGTAATGATTTTTTTTAACAAGCAGGTTAGGGTGGCCCCTAGAAAATCGGTTTTCTTTAAATATCTTTTTATACGTTCATTTCTTGTAGAATTTTTTTTTGTAGAATTTTTTTTTGTAGATACTTTTAGAACTTTTTATGACGCATATTTTGGATGCAGCTAAATTATTGTCTCTTGAATTTATAATTAATGGTTAGTATTTGCTGAAAAATGTGACTTTTTTAATTTTAATTTAAGCTTGAGCTTGAGCTTGAGCTTGATTGACCGCCCACGGTTGCTACTCTGTTATTGCCAGATCAGCTGTAATTACACAGAGAACCAATAGACGATGCTTGGGACTAGCAATCATCCTCAATGTGTAAAAACTGGTGATCTTAAATTAGGCAATACCAGCGCCGGCCGCGCCCGAACACAGGTCAAGAAAGGAATGGGAAGGATTGTGTTGACATGACACTCGCTTTGATGGAAGCCGAGAACACCTCTGCACTTCCACGAGGAATCACTGGGATGTTGGATAATAGGGTTGGGTTTGCAGCAGGGTTCGTTTTGGTAAACGATAAGCTGAATTAATGTCCTAACGATCATATAACGCGAAGGAGCTTGGGACTAAACCCACGGTCTTCTGCTCAGTAAGCAAAAACGTTTGCCACTAGGCAGACGAGCACCTTTTTAATCACCGAGTTGCTGCTATTACCATGTAGTCATATTAACAAATAAAACGATTGACGAATCTTGATTGTGGATGGGCCTGAGATTAGACTCATGATGTTTTGCTCAGTAAGCAAAAACGGTTGCTCTAAGGCCACCGAGCCCCTCATATCACATAATACCGTTGCTCTAATTTTTGTATCCATTCAAACCCGGAACCAACGACAACAATGAGTTTCGCAAAATACACGATACACAAGCGATTTTACTATAAATCTCTTTGATATGTAAGGACCTGGGACCGCGTTTTTCTGCTCAGTAAGCAGGCCACTGTAACCGACGATCTTTCAAATCCGAAAACTAAAAACTACGAAAAAGTACATAGGCCTTCATTAAGTTCCACTTTCACGCGACGTACAATGTTTCAATTTGCTCTTTACGTATTGTTCAGGCTAGGCCCTTTTCAAAATTTACGCGAGAAATACGCACAATCGTCACCTACCTCGCAAAACTGGTTCCAAACGACAACAAAGGCATAAGCAACGATGGATTGTTGAACTTTGCTGACTCCGGTGGTGTAGTGCACAGCAAAAAAATGTAATATCGATCAACGTAATTCAAGCTGATGTATGGAATAATGATGTAATTGTAATTTTGTAATTTATCAGCACACACCCTGGTCGACCACTGTAAACCAATCTGCCGTTCAGCGTTTTCGGTTTTTGTTTCTGGATCTTTAGTTGCCTCTGTGATATACTTACTTGCGGCATACTATTTTGGGAGTGTATATGAGCGTGTACCATGTACGGTAGCTCATCTCTCATCGTGATGGTGGGACATAGTAGACAAATTAGAGAGAAAACAAGGAGGTATTAGTATTAGTTATATGTAAACAAACAAAACAAAAGTTAGATAATGCGGCACTGTAACTACTACTATTTTAGAGGTATGATTCGTCATGTTTAACTCAATGTTTCAATTGAGGCAAACTATGTATCTTACAATTACAAAAGCAAACCTAAACTTACAATTATATGCAAATGCAAAATGAAACTTGACAAATCATCGTCAATTCCCTTATTCCAGGGCAGGGCCTGACGATTTGAATCTAATTTTGATCAGTGAACGGGCACCATATGGTACATTTTCTCACCATGAACCTATCATTTCCAGCCTATCTGAACTATTTAATAAATGGAAGCCATAACATGGGTTACGCTCCTCCTAAGCGGGCCCTCCGCATCCTGTCTCTGTCTTATCTCAAATACAAAATGCCAATGGTATGAATGTATCTATATATAACTTGGAAATGACGTACAATCAAATAAACCCGTAACCCACTCACTTGGTCAGGCTTCAGAATCGTCCAGTGGACAGTGCACTCTACACTCCAAGTTCCCTTTTTTCAAATTTACCGCAAATTTGATATTTTACCCGTTGAGTG